AGTGGGGGTCCGGAAAAAAATTTGGAAAAAAAAAACAATTTCTCCTCCTCTCCCCCCTCCAACTTAAATTATGACTGGTCCCTTACCTCGAGGATTTCCATTTACTGTTGTTGAGTTTTGTGATCGATGGATTGTTTATAACTCCCGTTAATTCGCCTAGAAGAGGCCGTTTTTTTGAACTCAGCTTTTCCTGACAAGAAAAATTTGGCCCAACAACGAATTTTATTTATGACAAACAAATTTGAAAGCAAATGTTTGCAGAAATTCTACGTTTCAAGTAAACACGACAAAGAATGCTACATGAAAACGACGTCTTACCTCGAGGAACCGAATCGCCATTTTTGTCAGCACTTCATGCGAAGAACAACACAACAAACCTTTTCGGCTATAAACTTGGCGAGTCAACAGAAAACAACAAAACTCTTGTTTTCTTCTCAGGTAAGGAAACAATTCAAACTTTTAGCGGTTCCATTGAAGCCATATACGTTGTTGTTTGCGTAGTGATAAGCTTGTGTATTGCCATGTTTGAAAATTCTACAAAGATCTATTTTTAAACTGTCTCGCGTCTAGCTGACCTAAACTGTCAATCAAATCGTACTTTTTAATGGTTTCCTCTCTGATTTTGTTGAGATCACTTCGTGTGTATATACTAAAACAATTATTCTTTTCAATATCGGTGAATAGTAGCTTTAGGAATATATTTACCTCGCCACTTCGTGGCTCGGTAAATATTTTGCCACTATTCACCTCGATTTCAAAGAATAATTGTTAAATATAATGAATTCAGCATGGCATCTTGTGGATTTACATTTCTTATTGTTGTTGTTGCCTTAGAGAAATATGGCTAGAAGTTTACACAACTGTGAGAGGGATTGCATTTTTAGTCCAGTGAAAGATAATCTGTAAGTGTCTGCAGAGTCTTACTGGCACGAATCGATGAAGCGATTTGCAGCAGGTTAAGAGAAATAGCAGGAGCCTCAGGATTTCACGGAGGAGGAGACTGCGACGATCACATATTTACTTTGTGTAACATAGGCCTTTTCTACGACCTTTTTTGATCCAAAATTATTCCTAACAATACGCTCTCAGAGGCATTTGCTGTTAACTCTGGAGTAAAGCAAAGTTCTTCTCGGAATGGTTGAATCCTCTGTCTCTAGCATTGGTCGTTGCCATCCTAGGAGATACAGGTCAACATAGAGGTAAACAATTCGACCTTCGTTACCCATCTTCAAGTGCTGATGATTTGGCTATACTCTCTAGAAATCGTCCTCGATTTTTGAGAGGAAAAAGACAGTAAACGGATTTGCCTGAAGCTCAAGGCTCGCGCCATGTAAGGGAATCCATATCCGGAATTCCTAAAATCTTTTTTGCTTGTGGAAACTTGGAAATTTTGATCGACGAATTCGGGATCCTGGGCTTTGGAATCCGGAATCCACGGAGTGGAATCCAGAATCCGGGACTGTCTTGAATTCCCTTATATGGGGCGACAAGGCGATGCTCTCACTGCGGATGCTCGGCGAAACTGGAATTCATTGATGACTTTATTTTACTTATTTGGGCAGCGTTATTAGCGATGAAGACGGCTCTCGAGGAGATATTTTAAAATATGGTAGCGCTGGGAAAGGTCTGAGGGGTATTTAGTATACCACAATGAGTAGCTAGACTAAACCCAGCTTTATAACAGCTGTGTGAGCTAGTTCGGTGTTTTTGTATGGCAGGGGTATTGGAAGGTGGCCAAGAAAGATGTGGGTTAAGATGAAGCTTTCCAAAATTGCTAACGACGGGAAATCTGTGATGGAGACCAGGAGAAAGCAGGCTCTCATTCTCGCCAGAGTCAAAAGATTTTTCTTTGATTCCTAGTTAATCTCAATTTTCTAGAGTCGATTTTTTGGGTTTCTCACTTTCAGCACGCGAAAGGATACAATTGACATTTACAGTCCCTCGCACGAGTGGTACACGACTTGCACACTCCCTAATTCACACAGAAAAACTTCACCGTCTGGCCTGGATATAGCTAGATCGGTAGAATGTTTTATGTAATCCGGGTCTCAGAGGATTCTGTTAGTGAGTAAAATGACGCCAACGTGCAAATGGCCTATTGTCATACTCAATAAAAACAAACGCAGGTAACAGGTATTTCATTAATTTGTACGTTTATTCTAAAAAGACTCAATCCTAATCCAAAAATTTCCTCAACATTAAAAGAAGATTTCCCATCTGGACCGCGAGTTAGTGTCCTTGTAAACAAGCAACAGTCTGCGGTAGAAAAGTTATTTTAGCTTGGGTTCGCATTGCCAGCGTGTGCGCAAGACGAGAGCTGACTGTACCTATGGTCGTTATGCATTCTGTTTCCGATTTTACAGAGTGCATTCCTATAAAGATCAATATTAAAACAAGTAAGCAGATTTATACCCTTCCCTTTTCCGGCACATCTTCTAAGTTAAAACATCGGTCCATCTTAGTATATTTAGCAACTGCATGACGTTCTTGGATTCCGTGTATACAGCTATTTCGAGAAAGGTTGTCGGGAAAAGTGCACGCGACAATCCTGAAAGGCATTGTGGGTGGTTTTGAGTTCTCTTTTTTTCAAAGAAATTTGAAAGAATTGGCACGAAAGGCCATGGAAATGTTGTTTGTGAGTGCTAAAGGAAAGCAACAAAAGTAGGTTCGACAGCTACAGTCGTCAGGAACAGTGTATTGATCATATCCCATATTACCTTTCGGAATTGTCGCGTGCACATTTTTTCCGACAACCTTTCTCAAAATAGCTGTATCTCTGATCACCTTGACAAGTGACACAGAAATTTGTATTGCTAATTTAATGTATTATTTTACTTAGTTTAACTTCCTGGTAAGTTCTATTACTATTATTTATTTCTTACTTGATCTTTAACGGGCTTGAAAGAAAATTTATCCTCATTTTAGTTTCAAGAAAATTGTTCGTGCTTGCTAACATGAGTAATACGTTGTCCTACCTCTTATTGTTTCTCTCTTTGCTTAAGTTTATAGAAATTCAGATATTGAACTTAAGGTGACGCGACCCAGTTTTTTTAGAGGGGTACCATCCTACTTTGAAGCTCTCTGGTATCCCACCTTTACTTTTATCGTAAGTCTAACGCATAGAATGGATAACATATAGATCAATCTACAATATAACATAACATTTTTGGCGATCGGAGTAAATGTCACGTGGTTATAATGCCACGCCCCTTTAAGGTCTAAGTCGAAAATCTGCTGTTGCCGGCATTTTTTCGTGAAAATCTCTCGGTTACACATAGTGCGCATTAGTGCCTTGCGCTGAACAGAGTTTCACCAAAATCGCAAAGACTCAATTCGAGAAATTCAGCCGTTTCCAAATTTTGGTCATAATTTATGCGAAAATGATAAGCAAACGTTACACGATTATATCTAATAAACTGTGGGATTCATCCCTTTATTTTGGGCATCGGTATAACAGATGAGTCCTTGCAAGTCAGATAAACGCTTCAGGGCCTTGTAAATGAGCGCGATTTCGAGCAAAGCAAACATATAGAAATAATAGTTTTCGCTATTTGTTGACGTTTGTCAGCGTTTATGAGTCCTTCTCATCAAAAAAGCATTTTCTTAACAATTCGTAGTTTTTTTCCCTTCAAATTTTTTCAGGGCCACAATTGATTAACTAGCTACCAGGACTCTGAATTTCATGGTCATTGAAAAACTGTGACATTATCTTCTATAAGCCCAAACTTGAGTAAACATTGAAGATTTTTAGCGTTTTGGGATGTGCTTTGGGAGTTGTCTATTGTTTCTAGTCTGTCATTATACAGGATTCTTGTCCAGCACGCGAGCAATGACCACGCTTGGCTGACTTCCGAATACTTACCGAGATATGGTAATTTAGTATGAGAAAATAGAAGGGATTTCCGTCACAAGTTGGTTTAATTATTGGTTTGCATTAAACATATGAAAAAATGATATTTATTTAATAGTAAGTAGATTTAGTGTGTAGCACTTCTTGATTTTTTTGCAAAGGCATAAGAAGCACGAGAATTGATTAAAAATTGTGAGTTAAACCTCTATGTATCACGCGATGGCCTGTCTCACTGTACCAAAATTATCATATCTCGGTGAGCATTCGGAAGTCAGCCAAGCGCGGTCATTGCACGCGTGCTGAACAAGAATGCTGTATAATGACAGACTAGAAACAATAGACAACTCCCAAAGCACAAACTCAACCAAAACGCTAAAAATCTTCAATGTTTACTCAAGTGTGGGCTTATAGAAGATAATGTCACAGTTTTTCAATGACCATGAAATTCAGAATCCGGGTAGTCAGTTAATCAATTGTGGCCTTGAAAAAATTTGAAGGGAAAAAAACTACGAATTTTTAAGAAAATGCTTTTTTCGTGACAAGGACTCTTAAACGCTGACAAACTTCAACAAATAGCTAAAACTATAATTTCCATATGTTTGCTTTGCTCGAAATCGCGCGCATTTATAAGGCCTTAAAGCCTTTTGCTGACTTGCAAGGACCCATCTGTTATAACGATGCCCAAAATAAAGGGATAAGTCTCATAGTTTATTAGATATAATCGTGTTAAGTTTGCTTACCTTTTTTGCATAAATTATGAGCTTAATTTGGAAACCGCTGAATTTCTCGAATTGGGTCTTTGCGATTTTGGTGAAACTCTGTTCAGCGCAAGGCACTAATGCGCACTATGTGTAGCCGAGAGATTTTCACGAAAAAAAGCCAGCAACAGCAGATTTTCGACTCAGACTCCAAGGGGCGTGGCATTATAACCACGTGACATTTACTCCGATCGCCAAAAATTTTATGTAATATTGTAGATTGATCTATATGTTATCCATTCTATGTGTTAGACTTACGATAAAAGTAAAGGTGGGGGTACCAGAGAGCTTCAAAGTAGGATGGTACCCCTCCAAAAAAACTGGGTCGAGTCACCTTAAGTGCAGTTTTTTTTCTATTTTTCTATTTTCTTTTCTTTCTTTAATACAATGTAGCCTACGTAAGTGAAATGATAGAATATCTATTACTTTACTTGCACCTTGCTTTTAGTTAGTGCCACAATAACGGAGATCGCACCCAGGTGTACCATTAAGATAGTACACATAATATGAACCACAATTTCTTACTTTGATGTTTGCTGACCAGTGACAGCAGTTACCACTATAACGAAAACACACCCGCCTGCTGACCTGACCGTCTGCTACTGTAGGGTGTCCACCATTCAACCAGCCGGTTGCATAAGTGTTACACCTATATTCAGGTGGACATGAAGTTGGCATTCTTGTGCCGGCGGACCCCTCAAAACGAAACCAACCAGGTCCGATTCCACTGTCACAATTATAGCCGCGAGTAGTGTACGTAACCTTTCTGTCACCGCTGTTAAGACTTCCGTAATTCTGACATTCTGATATAGGAAAAAAGGAAATAATTATAAAAATTATCATGAGAACTAACTTAACTTTTGAAAAGCTAGAAAATTATTTAATATTTTAGTTTTTCTTGTAGTTTGACTGATTTCATAAAGGTTTATCTACTGAACATAAACAGGGCTCTCCGAAAAAACGTCCTGGACACATGTCGTATTGATATAAAGACT